TTTTGATTGTCTTAAATACCCTTCAAGGTATTAATTACATACCAGCAGAGCAATTTAATTGGGTGGTTTTTGACCTTAAGCTAAATAGGAAGTGAAGTTTGTATTGGCAAAAGCTTCAGGCTAATTGGCCTGAAAAAAATAGAATATATTCCATTCTGCCAAAAACCAAATAGTGGGGGGGAAAAGAGGAAAACATATATTATGCATTGTGTTCCTGCTCTATATTTAAAGGGAAAATATTAAAATAAAATTTTTACTTGAAAAGCAAAATTTTTTAAATAAAAACTGATAGGCTAAGAGTACATTTCACTTTAAAATTACTGCTATGCCTTCTACCCTACCAAAGAATCAACTGTACTAGCAACTTTTATCCACAAAGAACAGCTCATTGTTAGCCTTGTCCTCAATTCGAAGGCCGAGCCAATCCATAAAGTGGGTGATTCTGATAGATACACTGTATACTGCATACAGTATTCTCAGACATATCTGGCTCTGCTCTCTTTCCTTAGGTGGCAATCAGAACTGCACATGAGGGACACCTGGGTGGCTCAATCGGTTAAGCATCCAACTTCAGCTCAAGTAATGATCTCATGGTCCTTGAGTTCGAGCCCCGTGTGGGACTCTGTGCTGACAGCTTAGAGCCTGGAGCCTGCTTTGGATTCTGTGTCGCATTTGCTCTCCCTCCCCTGCTCACGCTCTGTCTCTCTGTCTCAAAAATAAATAAACGTTTAAAAAAAATTTTTTAAAAGAACCACACATGAAGTTGAAGATGTGCTGCTATTTTCTCTCATTGCTCTTCATACCAACAAGACAAGAGCGTAGAGTTTTTCTAGCACTCTTTCTAGTGCTGCCATTCCAAGGCTGTTTGGCCTGCAACATGAGGAACAATCTACGTTTTTCATCCTCAGTACACTTTGGCAGGTCTGCCTCCAGAGTTGTGGCCAATGGCCAACATTCCATATGTGCAGTTTTACTGCTTTACTCCTAGAGGCATTGCGTGTGCAGACTCACTTTGGAACAGTATGCCGCTTTCCTTCTGGTTTGCACCAGACTCCCGGGAGTTTCCTGTTATCCATCCTCCTGAGCTTGACTTTCCACTTCCTAGATACTTAAGGGGTTTCCCAAATTGTTTGTGAATCATACGGCCCCGTTAGGGATGATTCCCGATGAGCACAACTTTTGTACTTCTCCCCTTGGGGTGCACCAATGTCTCCCTACTCCTTGCTTCCTTTGTTAATGCCATTTCTTTACACACACACACACTGGGGATCCTGATCCAAGATGACTTTAAGTAATCACCCTTTGTGTGTAATCTTGTCAAAGGTCTTTAGAAAATCTTTCTTCCCAACCCTTTTCTTCATCCTGTTATACCTACTGAAAATGTTCTTTAAAAAGATCCTTCTGTATTTAAGTCCTTGGTGTCCCCCTTTTCCATTGTGACATCATTCATCTTCACTCACTCTTTAAACTCCTTCAAGGTTTATCCACTGCTAGGGCTGAGCAGGATCTAAACTCACCCTGTTTGGTGTGCTTGCAGAGATCTACATTCTTGCATATCCCCTGAATCCTTCTTTGTGACCAGGGTCACCTTTGCAGTATGGCCCAGTGGCTTGTATTCCAGTGGCCTAATTTCACCCTTGAGTTCCTGCAAAACTCTCATTGAGCTGCCCTCCACTTGGTGATTTATCTAGATTTATTGTGTCAATTTGGCAGAATAGCTCTGATACAACCACTCCTGGATGTAATGGCATTAATCTTGCATTTCCAAGAACAATACAGAACTGGCGATCTCCCTAGGATCTTCTTCATTAAAAGCCAAGGCTTAAGAATTCATCTGTGAGCTATCATCATTTCATCCTGTGGAGAACTCTCTGTTCCATCATTACCTGTAGTCTATCCTCTTTCTTTTTTTTTTTTTTAATGTTTTTTATTTATTTCTAGGAGAGAGAGAGAGACAGCGTGAGCAGGGGAGGGTCAGAGAGAGAGGGAGACACAGAATCTGAAACAGGCTCCAGGCTCTNGCAGAAGAAGAGAGAGGAAGGGAGAGAGAATCCCAAGCTGGCACAGGGCTCCATCCAACAGCCCTGGGATTGTGACCGAAGCAAAACCAAGAGTTGGAAGCTCAACTGACTTAGCCACCCAGGCGCCACTCTTTTTTCCTTTTTCAATTGTTTTTTATTTTTTTAGGTAATTTTTAAAAACATTTTTTATTTATTTCTGAGAGAGAGAGAGATAGCATGAGCAGGGGAGGGTCAGAGAGAGAGGGAGACACAGAATCTGAAACAGGCTCCAGGCTCTGAGCTGGCAGTCAGCACAGAGCCCGACGTGGGGCTCGAACCCACGAACTGCGAGATCATGACCTAAGCGAACGTCAGACACTTAACCGACTAAGCCACCCAGGCGCCCCATCCTCTTTCTTGAATTAAATTGTTCTCTCTGATTCACTGAAAGAAATTTGTATTGCTCTTGAAATCTCACATATAATACTCCTCAATTTCTCTGCATTTTGAAGAAAACTTTATCATTGCATTGCTCCTGTTCTTCCACACTTTGTAGATCCCTGTTCTCATAATTTGAACCATGTTTCAGCTTAGGAAAGGGATCTAATGATTTCCTAAAATAAATTTTTGATACTTTGAGTTATCCATGCAATTGGGAATACAGTGCACATAGAATAATTCTGAATGAGGTTGTTTGTTTGTTTGTTTACAAACCATCACATTTTTATTATAGCTACCTGCTCTAAAATTAGCGAGCAACTAAATGAGTGGCCATTTGAAAATCTAGGGGCACATATTATTAAGATTAATAGTCATTAATTAATATAAGAAATATATTGTTCACTAGTTCTGGGGGAGACAAAGTACAAGGCCATAGGAATTCAGCTGATTTAGAAAATATATATGGTCTCTGCCCCCAGGAATCTCAGTGTTGGGTCAAGTTACATGCAGATATGTAAATAAACAAATCAAGGTCACTCAGTGTGATAGGTGCTAAATAGTAAGTAAAAGTGGAGGAAAGAGCATTTGCCTGCACATCCAGGGGGAAAGCTGTTTTCAGAGCAAATTAAGTGATGATATTGAGCTAAGTCTTGATGAATAGGTGTCAGAGCCCTGGGCAAAAGGTGGTAGGAAGGGCAGGGACATTAGAGATGGCACTCTGGAGTAAGGTTCAACAGAAATGGTAGCAGGTGAGACTGGGGGACACAGATAAAGTTGTAACCATATCCTGTAGGCAAACAGAAGCAATTAGAGTTTTAAATAATGGAATAATATCGTCAGGGCACCCGGGTGGCTCAGTTGGTCAAGCATCCAACTTCAGCTCAGGTCACGATCTCTCAGTTTGTGGGCTCGAGCCCCATGTTGGGCTCTGTGCTGACAGCTCAGAGCCTGGAGCCTACTACACATTCTGTGTCTCCCTCTCTCTCTGCACCACCCCCCACCAACACTTGCATTCTGTCTCTTTTCTCTCTCAAAAATAAACATTAAAAAACCCCAATATGGTTGGTTTTGCTATGTGAGTGTGCAAGTAGAGAGATCATTTAAATGTTCAACAAGAGCTGATAAAGCAATGGCAGTTGGAATGGAAAATAGGGAATGGGCTTAATGTACAGTTCAGATGTATATTTGAGTCCCTCAAACATTTCAGGTGGTGGTGAATTAAGGAAGAGAACAAAGTCAAGGTTAACCGCTTCCCCAGGGCTCATTTATTGGTAACTAGGTACATGATGAGCCTGACAACCAGAAAAGGTACTAACAACCTTCTAGTTGTTAGTTTTAGTTGTTAGGCAGGTAGTAGTGGGTTGGTCTGAGTATTATGGGAGGGCTCTGTAAAGATAATGAGCTCTCCTTTGAACACACTTGCTTTGACATGAGGTACCCAATAAATAATTACGTAGATCTGGTGCTTAGGCTTAGAAATATAAATGGGAGAGCCACCAACATAGGGATCAGTCACTTTCTCATTCCAGCTGGCTGTATTTGAGGTACTGTGCTGGGAAGGACAGCAGCAAGTAGGAATAACATCATCTGTCTCTGGAACCTAGTAAGGAACAAAGACACAATTGTTTGTTGCACCTTATTCTTCTACAATGTCATATATATGGATCTCAGTCATATAAATGATTTATTCTATATATTAAACTCTTGTCAGAACTGACTTTACTTCCCTTTCAGCCACATTGTTTAAAATAGCTCTTTTGATCATTCTTAAGAATAGCAACTGTCCAAGAAATCAGTTACTAATGTGATACACTTTCTGATTCCAAAGATACAGAAACAAACAGTTTATCCCAGCTGGAAAATCATTTAGCTGAACTATTACACTTCTTACAGTGTGCCCTTTATATCACATTTTGTGAAGGACAAGTTAGTGATACTTCCTGAATCGATGAATCTTTGGCAGATCTAATGTCAATTTGGTAGAAGGAGCTCTGACAGAGCTCTTACTTTTGCCCCTTTAAAATATCAACTCTCTTTGAAAGTAAATGTGTCACACAAACACAGTCAGCTTGTGAGTAGGAAATGATGGGTGAAAAAAAAGCGTGATGAAAAAATCCCCATAGTTCCTCTAATAAAATTTTGGAATTCTCTTACCCAAAAATAATTTTTCCTGAGACCTTGTTTCATTAAATTATAGAGACTGTGGAATCATCATGCATAAAATTATTTCATGAAACCCAAAGTGAAAATCATGTTCTGTAATGGTAAGCCATGGCTTAATAGTACATATCCCTCTAGCTATCAATTCATGTTTTGAACAAGTGACATGTACAAAGAATAACTTGAAGATTCTGCTATCTCTTAAAAAACTGAAACACTGAATAGACAGCTTTTCAGAAACTTGTGTTCAATTGTATTCGTGGTCTTTTTAAAATGGATATGTTCACATAATGTATGCAGCTACAATGTCCCATGATTTCTACAGAACAGAAAATGTCACATCGCATTACTGGAAGTTCTCCAAATGACATCTTTTTTTTTTCTGTTATCATTAAACAGGGAAGGCCATGGTAAAATTTCAGTATTTGCTGTCAAAATGGCTTTAGCCACGTTGTGTGGAGGGAAGATCATGGACAAATTAAGATGTAAGTTATTCTTTGTGTCTCTCTTTGCCGATCCCTCTCGCATACCACATTTTCCTCTCCCCACTTCTGTATCCTGCTGCCCACTTTGACTTTCCTCATTCTGTGAGAGCTATTTGAAATTTAATCTTCATGGATCTTTGCATTTTGTCGAAGAGATATTTTCATATTAGAGAAATTAATATATTAATTATTAATGATATTAATGTTTTCCTTCTACTTATAGGTTATTATTAGTTATAACCTATTGGTATCACCCCCTAGACTTTTTGTAATATTAAAGTAAGATAACATACTCTTTCAAGTTCATTGTACTGTACTGTACTGCCTCCCAGGTGTAAGTCCATCATCACAGGGACATGAGAGCCATGTTGGGCAGCCTTTTTTTTTTTTTTTTTTTTAAGGTAATCTAAAGCCAAAACTCCTGGCTCATTATTCTCAGCCAGTGCTGTTCCAGTCACTGGGAATTCCAAAGGTTCCAAAATAGACATTGCCAGGGTACAGGTTTAAGAATCACATAGAACACTATAGACTGAGAATTAACCAGATTCAAAAAAAAAAAAAGTGATAGCTAAGGTGCATTGAGTGACTGTGCACCTTTTATGTACATTTCATCACTAAATGTGTAGTTTTTTAACCAAGAAAACACAGGCATTTTCCTTGCTTTTGGTAAAAAATCTGAGACTCGGAGAGGTAGAATGAAGTCATATAGCTAAGATGGTACCAGGATTTGAATATGACTTTTTTTTCCTTTACACTAGTGGTTCTAAAATTTTCAGATATATGGAATCATCTGGATGGCTTTTTTTTTTTTTCTAGGAGAGAGAGAGAGACAGCGTGAGCAGGGGAGGGTCAGAGAGAGAGGGAGATACAGACTCTGAAATAGGCTCCAGGCTCTGAGCTGACAATCAGCACAGAGCCCGGCGCGGGGCTCGAACCCACGAACCGCGAGATCATGACCCAAGCGAAAGTCAGACGCTTAACCGACTAAGCCACCCAGGCGCCCCTTTCTGGATGGCTTTTTAAACTGTGGATTTCTGGGTACCACTCCCAGAGTTTTTGATTCAGAAGAACTAAGGTGGGGATAGGGGCAAGAATTTTCATTTCTAACTATTTTTAAATGATGTACTGTTTAAAGGGAAAAAAAATTTCCATTTAACCCTTTCCCTTACCTGAAATATTATGAGTTTGTGCTATAATGCTGTGTGGGAAAGGAGCACTGTCATGGGAATCGGGAACCCCAGCTTGTAAGCCCAGCCAAGTGACTAATTTGCTGAGTTATCCTGTGGACGTTACTTCACTTCTTTAGTCCTCAGCTTCCATCTCTATCCCAAACTTGGGGATTTTTGTTAGGGTCCCTCCCAGCTGTAATCATCTGTGCCTCACCACCTCCAGGCTCTTTTCTCACCTGCTGCCTGTCAGCTTCTGAGTGTGATCTCTTGCTTCCTGATGCAGAAAGACTGAAAAAATGAAGGCAGATACAGAAAGAAAGAAAAAAAAAAACAAAAACCTTCTTTCCTCTGGAATATCCCAGACATGCTCCACAGCACAGTTATGTCATTGGGCCAGTAGATGAGTGGGAGAAGGCACCCACAACCCACACACCTCCCCTCAACTCGGGAACCTCCTTTCATGGACTAGCCAAATGCAGTGAGGATTCAGAAAAGCACAAACAGACCTGACAAGGGAGAGTTTCATTTCTCTTTAATTAGCCTGAAAGGTATTTTAAAAATTAAAAATTATCTGCCCCAGTGCTTAATTAAAAATAGTAGCTAAATTGGAAGGTGGTGGAACCAATGTCCTTTTTTAAAACATAGCTTCAGAGTAATGCATGAGGCATTTCCTTCAGGGTTGAGCTGGGAGGAGAAAGTTTAGGAAAATGAACCAGAGCAGAGGAAGAAATCTTGAGGACCTTGCCTGCTGATCTCATATCATGATTGGCCACTTATGCTGAGGACATTAGATACTTTTTTTTTTAAGTCTTGAGAGACATTTCCAAATACTTACTCAATGTTATATTAATGGGCACATGGATAAAAGGATTCTGTATTAAAACAAGTTTGAGGAAAACTAAGAGAACAAGTTTTCTGATGTTCCTTGGGGTCCTTGGAGCCTTCCATGAACCAAGCTAATTAATTTTCTGCCAGCAAGGAGCACATCTTTGCATTCAGGCTTCCTCAGTACTGCAGTCTCAGGAGTCACATCTCACTCAGAGGTCCCCAGCCCCCAGTGTGGCATCAGAAACCAATTGCTACCACAGTTACTAGTAACAAGAAAAGAATGCCCATGATGGTCAGGAGGGAGCCCACTGCTGCCCCCTGGGCTGGGAAAAGCCCCTACTTTCCCTTCTTAGCCCAGGAAGAAACTTGAGGCCAATAAAAACAAAGGGAATGGTTGTTAGGTAAGCAGGCAACAATGTCTGCAGTTACAAAGTTCAAGGTAACTAAGTTTCTGAGCAGATCTTTACCGACTGTCAAATCCCCTCGCCCCTAGTTCTCTTGCATGTCCAGGAATTCAAAGCAAACAATGTAATTGCTAAGGTGCTTTCTCCTCCCCCCACCATCAGCGACCAAAGCATATGAATGCTACCTGTGGCCAAAGTAAATCCTATTCAGTGCGTGAAAGAAGTTAACACACGCATGAGTCTCATTGGAAGTAACCTATGTTCTCCAGTCTGCAGAAATGAGTTTCAGTGTCACAAATTCTGTAGAACCACAAAAACAGATAGTGTGATCCTGAGCTATATGGCACGGTGCCTTCTCTCAGAGCAGTGGATCTGAATTACAGCCTAATGTGTCCCCAGCTCTGGTGCTCAGAGCTCCTGGAACTCAGGAGTCACTCTTTGTATACTTAATCCCCGGAAGGTTTTAATGGTTTCCTGGTTAGTCGATTGAGAGCACTTGGACAAATACAATTGAACTGAAAACAGCTTGCTTGGAAGAATCTCTCCAAAATGTTAATTAGTCAAAAATAAATACCTTTAGTCACCAATATTTCTAATTTCAGTGACAATTATTAACTAAAGATGCAAATATAAGAAAATCTGCCTGTAGACAACAGGGGCTGACTCGTGCTGAGTGGGATTCTGTTTTCTCTGGTCTTCTTTTGCCGACTGCACTTTATGATAAAACAGGCAAAGTCATGATTTTCTGCATTGCCTTTGTAAAAAGAAAAAGTAAAATGAAAGGATGTGGAATTTCTCAGGATTCAAGGGTTTTGTTTTTCCTTCTTTAAATGTGAATTCACGTCAGCCAATAGGCCAGCTGTGCTTGTCTGGCAATTTTTCTGTTTTTGTGCATAGGGATGAGGGATAGTTAGTTCTTTCCAACTAGCCTCTTCCAGTTGGAGAGCACAGGCAAGAGTAATTGCTGAAAACAAATTAGAAATTTGAGAAAGCCAAAAGTAGAAAACAAAATTTCCAACTGAATCTTTCAAAGTGCTTTAAAATGCATTCAAAAGGAAAACAACCCCATGTCACACCACTGTTCCCAATGCTCAGGGCCACCAGGAACCAATGTGCAGGGTGTCCACCAGGAGCCTCTGAGCTGCCCAGGGTATGAGGGCACCCCCTGCAGTCATAACACACAGCAACCTAAACATAAACTGCCCGAATAAAATACCCTATTTCTATCTAATTGTTCTTGTTCCAGTTATAAGCTGTTGTTGTAATGAGTTGGGACACCTGTTTATACTTCTTTCTTGGGACTCCCAGATGGTCCTAAGAACTGTAAGGAATTCTGAATCTAATGCCATTAGCCTAGAATGTCAGGTGCCTGTTCTAAAGCTTCTGAGGAGGGCTTGTTTGGTTTTGTTTAAAAGACTAGCGTTAGAGCAAACATCAAGATTTTGTTGAGTTTCTATAACTGTAGCTGTTTTGCCTCCACACCTACCTCCATGGTAATATTTCTAACTCACTGGCCTGCCTTAAATCTTTAGTATCTCTCCCAACATCTACTGGACACAACCTAAATTCCTTAGAGGAGTCTAGAAGCTCTTCATATCTCTACCTCATCTCCCCCCATGCCCTTATGTGCACCCAAGGCCCCTGGAACAATGAACTACTTGAAGAGCTTTGAGTGTATCCTGCTTGAGCATGCCTGTGCACATCCTTGTGCTATTTCCTAAAGCCTCACCAACCCCTGATTATCCTTTATACTTGGCCTAGAAGTCACCTCTATCACCTAAGAAGACCTAGAAGTCACCTGTGTACAAGGAAACTTTCCCTGACCCACTCCTCACTCTGGAAACCCTCTCTTTGAGCCCTTGCTGCATCCTGCACACCCTACTGCTCTGGTATTCACACCACCATGTTACGATATATGATGTCATATGATGCATTATGGAAGCATGTCTCTGTATCCTCCATGGACCGGGACCTCCGAGGTCAAGAACTATGTCCTATTGTTGACCAATTCACAAAACTGGAATATGGCCAGTAGGTTAGATAACATTCAATAAGATTAGTGTATCAATATTAAATATACAGAAGTGGATAACTACACTGTAATCCAGGGTGAACACACTATGGCCCATGAGCTAAAAAGAGTTTTCCCATTTTTAAAGGACTGTATAAAGTACAAAGAAGAATGTATGACAGAGACCATGTGTGGCCCACAAAACCTAAAATATTACTATTTGGCCCTTTACCAAAAAAGGTTTGGTAACCCTTGCAATAGTCTCATAAAAGTACATACCCTTATTCTTAGGGAGGACCCACTGCAGTGTTCAGAGGTAAAGGCCATGATATATGCAAATTAGTCTCAATTCAGAAAACAATTATGTATGTACATACATATATACACAGAGACAAAGAGATGTAGACAGATGGTAGATAGATAGATAGATAATAGATAAATAGATAGATAGTTGATAGAATGATAAAATAAATGGAATAAAGTGTTAATAGATGAATCTGGATAAAGGGTATGTGGGTATCCTTTGTAGCACTCTTATTCCTGCAATTTTTTGCTAAGTTTGATATTATTTTCAAATGTAATCTTGTTTTAATTCATTAAAAAATAAATATAAAAAAGAACTATATCCTGATTTTTCTGTACATTCATTGCTTAGCATAATTTTACACATTTAGTATGTGCTAAGTTAATTTTAGTTGAATGAATTAATGAATGTAAATTCTTCTAAAGTATCTATTATTGTATAGTGCTGTAGGAAACCGAGTGGTGATTTAGAATGTGATTGGGAACATTACAGAACAATCCCATTGGGGAGGCAAAGCCAAAGCATATGAAGTAAATGGCAGAAAAACTGTGGTATGAAATTAATAGTAAAATTAACATTTTAATTTTACATTAAACATTTCTGTACTGTATACTAGGGGCCAAGCACTATTCTGTGTACTTTACATCTGTATGCTTTTCATCCATTAACTAATTTAATCTTTGAAGTAGCCTTCTATTTTATTACATACACATATATTACATACTATCAGCATATTACATAGTATATATACATATATAGTCATATAACAATATATATAAAACAGAGAGCCCAGAACTCAGGGACAAACACATCATTTTGATAGCTACCTCAGAGTTCCTTCATTTATTTTTAAACCAGAGTGGCCATTAACAACAGCCACTTCCCTTTGATCCCAGTGACCTAGCCCTAATTTGGCTATTGCTTAGCAAAGCTTCATCAACACAAACAAGTTTAATATGAGCTTCAAGTTTGTGAAAGGTCAGTGTTGGTACTCCTCCTTTGCTCTAGTTAGAAATGTTGTCTAAATTTTTTCAGTGGCAGATTTCAGAGGCCAAGGCTACTTTTCAAAAATGTGTCCTGGCCTAGAAAAATCAAGCCCAGAAGATCATCAGGGTGGCCCAATTATAGTTATCCAACCTGCCTAAAAACACACAAGATGGCAGCTCCAATAAGAAAGTCCATTTACTTTTCCTGGGTTTCCTTTTTCCTGTTTTTATTGGAATTCTTGAGTTTCTGTATATGGGATTACCTAAGAGTTTTTTGTGCTGTTGACAGCTTTTTTCTTTTCTTTTCTTTTTACCAGTTATATGAAACATAAGAGATAAAATTCACCAAGTTAACAGTTGTGAAGGCAGATGAAAACATTAATTTTGTTGCTTGGGTAAATTTTCTTTAGCTTCATAATTGATAAACTATTTGAAAAAGTAGAAGTCCTTTAAAACGGGAGTATTTGAAGGAAATGAGAGTCAGTTCACAGCCTCAAAACATAATCCAGCTAAAGCCTGTAATGTGCTTAACATCTGACTGCTGTGTGAAAACCAGGTCCCCAGACTGCATCTGACCTTGAGACATTAAGCCCAAACTGAACAGAGGCAGCACATTGAATTTAGAACAGTTTATCACAACAGCTGTACCCTCCTAGTCACAGTCTTACATGGTGACAAACTACGATAGCAGACACTTTCATTCCTATAGTGACTTCCACAGAGGAATAATAAAATACCTTGAGAAATTATGCCATTAATATTCACTAAGTGCCCAAGTTTCAGAAACGGAAGAACAGAGGTTCAATGAAGACACGGACTCTGTCCGGGACTCTGACTTTACTTCATTGATCTTCCACAAGGCCAGGCTTCCCTTCGGCTGCATGAGTCAAAGGACCCTTCCCTGTAAATCAAGTGCCTTCCACCCAGAACTGTGATTTATAGGAAGTTTTCTGCTTCTGTGGGAACTTAATCAAGTGTTTTCATTACATCCTTATCCCCATTGCATCTTTCATTTTTCAATACCTTAAACCAAAACTCAAAGTTTTCTGTGATAATATAGATGGGTAAATAGCTAGCTAGCTAGATACATACACACCCCAATGTTGTAGTAAATGTACATTGTGTGTTTCAATGAAGTCAGCATATTCCTCATATCTACAAGAATTCCTTCCGCTGAGTGATGTATGAGTTGATAATTGACCTCAAAATAAAAATGTGATATTCTCTGTCTTATCAAAATATGCTAATTTTACCCAACACAATGCTGTGTTCCAGAATCAGCTACAAAAAAGACACCAAAGGAAACACTATGCCAGGAATATTTCAGCATAGCAATTAACCTTTATGTTATTCTTTCATTAAAAAATTACGTATTCTGCTACATTTTCAGTTATTTGCAGCAAAGATGGTGCACTGAAACAGTGAGGAATATTTATGTGATGAATAAATATCTCTCCTTTTCCTTCCATCAGATATTTTCTCAATGATTTCTGACTCCAGTGGTGTGATGGTTTATGGACGATATGATCAGTTCCTGAGGGAAGTTCTCAAACTACCCACGGCGGTTTTTGAAGGTCCTTCATTTGGTTACACAGAACAGTCAGCTAGATCCTGTTTCTCTCAACAGGTAAGTGTTGGGGGGTGGGGGAGGGAAGACATGTTTAAGGAAATATCTCTCAAACAGTAGTTGTTCTTCAGTATGTTACTTCAAGTCACTACTTAGACAAATTCTTCTTCGAGATAAACTGTAGTACATCTTCTGGTCTCTGACAACTGACCTCTGAATCAGTAAACTCAGCATACCTGGAAAATAATAATTGGTGGCTCCTGACCACAAGCCAGGCACCATGCTTAGTTTTTACTTGAATTGTCCAACTTAATCCTTACAACAATCCTATATCCTCGGCATCATTACTGTTATTATCACCACACTATCAAAAGGGCTAAATTGTTATTCAGCCTCATATGAAACACACATCTGGGCCAGCGCCACGCTTCTCCAGTGTTTAGCAGAGGAAACAAGAAAGGAATCATATAGCACATGTCACACACAATCAGGAAGGCCCAAAATATGACAGACATGGCTGACTACATCCCCCACAACGTGACACATTAGGGGTTCAGAGTGACATGTTTTAACTGGGGGTGGTACAGATTAGCCCAGAAGCTATTTAGTTCTTGGGCATTTCTGTGTTTACATCTGTTCAGTCATGTAGAAAGTCTACATGTCTAGCACCATTCTCTAGCATGATGCAATGATAATTTACAAATCCATAAACTGAAGATTTGTTTAAAATTTTTTTAAAAATCCGGGGCGCCTGGGTGGCTTAGTCGGTTAAGCGTCCGACTTTCACTTGGGTCATGATCTCGCGGTTCGTGGGTTCGAGCCCCGCGTCGGGCTCTGTGCTGACTGCCAGCTCAGAGCCTGGAGCTTGTTTCAGAGTCTGTGACTCCCTCTCTCTCTGACCCTCCCCTGCTCACGCTGTCTCTCTCTCCTAGAAATAAATAAAACATTAAAAAAAAAATTTTTTTTAAAAAAAAAAAAGAAAAAAGAAAAAAAATTTTTTTAAAAATCCAAATTAACCAAGAATGTCCTCTAAACGTATCCCTTAAATAAGAAATCCGTGCATAGCAGCTACTGAGAAGCCACATTTAACTGCCCAGCTAGTAAACTGCATCAGTCTGTTTACTTGTGACCTAGAAGGTCAAACGTGCCTCAGACGTCCCTGAAAGTCATGGATTTATGTAGAATCACAGCTGTACCTGTACAACCAATGAGAGATGGGACGGTCGATACACTGAGTGCTAACTCTGCCCCTGTGTTGTGTCATCCAGACAGCCTTTCTGACCTCTCCCACTCCCCCACCCCCAGGCCAGCTAAGGTCCCTCATCTGTGTCCCCAGAGGATACATACTCCCCTTTAGATAATGGTTCCATCACCTAAGCCTCCTTCTACACAGCTTCTTCACCCAGCAGCTCTCATCCATCCACAAGTCCTGCTCATTTTAGCTTCGAAACGTGTCTCCAGTGTCTTTCCTCATCAGCACCTGTTGCCTGGCCTATTGTATTCACCTCCACCCTGGTCTCCTGGCCTCTGGATTTGCATATTTGGTGCATGTCCCATTGCATTTCAAACTATTTCAGACCCCCCTTATAAAGAGGCATCTTAAGAGGTCCTCAAAATGCATACAGTCGTACGACACGATAAAAATGCACAGGGAGAACATGAAGGAGGCTTCGTCTCTTCTCCTCTGTCCCTCACAACACCCCATCTAATGATGCCACTCTCCTGCTGAGCAGCCTAATCGCCTGCAGGTTGAAGCTCCCTCTCTTCCAGACTCTGAGAGCCCTTCCGTCCTTCTCCAGCTCACCTTTCTGCCCCCCAGATGCAGCCCTCTGTCTCTGTTCATGCTCCAACCACTCCATTTCATGACTCTGTGCTTCTCTGTCCCCAGCGTCCTCTCCATCTCTTGCCACCAACTCCTTTTTCTTGCCCGAACACCACTTTCCCCAAGAAGCCTTTCACAAAAGACATAAAGCCTCCTACCTTAACCATCTTCATATCTTACACACTTGCTTCCCTATCTCATAAAAGGCACATAACAAATGATTTTCCATACTGAACTTTACTGATTTAAGAGTTAGTAAGTCCTAGGACACCTGGGTGATTCAGTCAGTTAAGTGACTGCCTCTTGATTTCTGCTCAGGCCGTGATCTCACAGTTTGTGAGATCAAGTCCCACATTGAGCCCCATGTCAGGCTCTGCACTGACAGCGAGGACCCTCCTTGGAATTCTGTTTCTCTCTCTCTCTCTCTCTCTCTCTCTCTCTCTCTCTCACCCTCTCACCCTTCTCCCCTACCTCTGTCTCTCTCTCTGTCTCTCTTTCTCTCTTCTCTCTCTTTCAAAATAAATAAAAAAGAGTGAGTCTTCACTTTTAACTGGAATTGTTAAAACAGTGTTAATTAATTCAAAACACAAATGTATTAACCTAATTTTTTTCAACTTCTTTATCCATTCATCTATGGATGGACCCTTGTGTTGCTTCCATATATGGGCTATTGTAAATAATGCTGCAGTAAACACAATGGTGTATATATCTTTTTGAATTCATGTTTTAGTTTTCTTTGGGTAAATCCCACTAGTGAGATTACTGAATCATATGGTAGTTCTATTTTTAATAGAACTATTAATCCCTACTGTTTTCCACAGTGGCTGCACCAACATAATTCCCACCAACGGTGTCCGAGGTGCCTTTTTCTCCACATCCTCACCAACGCCTGATATTTCTTGTCTTTTTGATTCTAACCATTTTTATAGGTGTGAGGTGAAATTTCATTGTGGTTTTGATTTGCATTTCTCTCATGGTTAGTGATGTTGAGCATCTTTTCATGTGTCTCTTGGCCACATGTATATATTCTTTGGGGAAAAAAATCCATTCAGGTGCTCTGCTCATTTTTAATTGGATTATTTGTTTTTTTGGTGTTGAGTTGTGTAATTTTCTATATATTCTGGATGTTAACGCCTTATCAGATGTATTATTTGCAAATATCTTCACCCATTCAGTAGGTTGTCTTTTAGTTTTATTAACGATTTCCTTCACTCTGCAAGAGGTTTTTTATTTTGGTGTAGTTCCAATAGTTCATTTTTGTTTTTGTTTCTCTTGATGACTTTTTTAAGCTTATTTATTTATTTTGAAAGAGAGAGAAAACTCGAGGATGCACATATGGGGGAAGGGCAGAACAAGAGGGAGAGGGGGCTAGAGAGGAAGAGAAAGAGAATCCCAAGCAGGTTCCACACTGTCAGCACAGAGACTGATGTGGGGCTAAAACTCACAAACCATTGAGATTGACCTGAGCCAAAATCAAGAGTTGGACACTCAACTGACTAAGCTACCCAAGTGCCTCTTGATGCTGACTATCTTTTATTTAATACGACCTACATATTCAATATGATTTATATATGATGTTTACCACAGCTCTAAAATTCCTTTTGAAATACCTTATAGATTGTCCTATTACATAATTTTTCATATATCCTCACTGATGAGAAATTTATATATGTTGAAATCATAATAACATTTTTGGAGACTTCTAGGAGTGATTTTTAGCCAGTGTGATGATCAAAATGAATAAGACCATCTGAAGTATAAGAAGAGGCAACACAAATATAAATAAATAATAACACCAGTTTATTTTTGTTCTTCATAAACTGGCTATAACAGCAGTTTGAATGATGAAAATTTTAAATTGTTTGCATTGCTTCATTGGAAAAAGTACAAATCATTCCAAGTGATTATTTTGAAAGACAGGATTTTTTTAGATACTACAAATTGTGGTAACTTTAAAAAAATGTCTCATTACTTTACATAAATATCTTTTTTTGATGTTTACTCATTTTTGAAAGAGTGAGAGAGCAAACGTGAGTGGGGGAGGAGCAGAATCTGAAGCAGATTCCAGGCTCAGAGCTGTCAGCACAGAGCCCAGTGCAGGGCTCAAACTCACAGACCACAAAATCATAACCTGAGCCAGTCGGACATTTAACTAACTGAGCCACCAAGGCGCTTCTACATAAATATCTTTTAATAATAATGTCGCTACCCTGTAATACTTAAGCTATCTAGTATTTTGAGGGAAAGCTACCATTGTAAATATCTGCTGATAAAAAAGATTAATTAAAGAGTACCAAAACATTCTGTGTGTGAAATTACAAGGACAAGTGTAGTATAGGTGCCTTGAAAATGTATGATAGTTCTTCACAACTGATTTCTTAGATAAATCTATCCCTGGGCTGTCTGTTCTGTTCTATTGATCTAGTGTCTATTTTTGTGCCAGTAATACTGTTTTGATTACTATAGCTTTGTAGTATATCTTGAAATCTAGAATTGTGATACCTCTAGTTTTGTTTTTCTTTTTCAAGATTGCTTTGGTTTGTTGGGGTCTTTTGTAGAGAACAAACAGATGGTGACCAAAAGGGAGACGGGAGGAGGGAGGGAATGAGTGAAATAGGTGATGGGGATTAAGAGTACCACTCATCTTGATAAACACTGAGTAACATATAGAATTGTTGAATCTCTATATTGTATACCTGAAGCTAATATAACACTGTATGTTAACTGTACTGGAATTAAAATAAAATTTAAAAAAAACTAGTAAGCAAACAAAAAACTACCCCATCCACCTGATATTATAATTCAAAATTTCAAATAAAATAGTGATTTTTGCATATAAACCTGTTATTTTTTCTCATTCATCCTAGTAAAATATCATATATTCACATAACTTCTTATTTTTGTCATTTTGAATGAAATTTAAAATCCACTCCCTTTCCACATCAGAAAGGACCAGGATAATTCAGACAGATGCAGACTGAGTTAAGAGGAAAGATATATCAAGAAGAGAAAAGGAAAATTTTTGAAACTATAGACTGTTCTCTCCTAACAGCAAAGGGTCACTCCCTCCTAACAGGATTTCCTCCTAATCTTGTATGGCAAAAACCATTCATATTAATCATGAAGCATTTAGTACTTACAGAAGTGCAGGAAGTTTAGAAGGGAGGTTGTCTAACAAACAGCAGAAGACCGAGAGACTGATAAAGGAATTGTGGCATGCACTAAGATACACAACTGGGTAAAGTTGTATACAGCAAGTCTACTCTCCATCTTTCCTTATCATTTTCATACTGCCCTTCATACACAAAAGCGACCGTCTCAGAATTGTCATTCTCCCTATGACAATATTGACTCAGCCTCAGTGGAGATAATCCAATCCTATGTATGTTTAAGTGTGAAAAGCAACCAATGGTTTAAATTCAGAACTAGCTCTTTAGGTATTAGACTGTATTCTGTTTCTTCATATATCAGAGGTTAATGCAAAGTCCTCTTTCCAGGGTATTTACATAGCAGGTAAATTCATATTATTCTCTGTTCTAAATTTTTGTGGGTTCTTTTGATGCAGAAAAAAGTCACCTTAAACAGTTTCTTGGACACGCTCATGTCTGACCCTCCCCCGCAGTGTCTGGTCTGGCTGCCCCTTCTGCATCGACTGGCAAATGTAGAAAATGGTAAGTAGTTACTACTGAGCTACGGCCATTTTTTAAATTATTGAAATTAGGCTATCAAGTCTACAGTTATTAAGCCAAGGTCATTTAGTCATTCTGAGTTTTGAAAGAACCTTTCTCCCTAATCAGTAAGGCATTCGAGGATCACTGCAAAATTAGGAGAGTCGATTCTATAAACTCATTGAATCTCACTGTGTACCTCTCAATTACAAGTTGTGTGTGGCTGTAGACTTGCTGTAGCAGAAGAAGAATTTCAATAATGAATGTAACATTTTTTTAGCATTATAGCATTCTTTTTAGGCATGAACTTCCATTATTGGCCTTCATGGCCTTGGGTGTTCCTAGGCACTTGGCCAAGAATAGGTGGAGAAGATGGAAAACAATTAGATGATGGCACCTTGCTCATCTTTAGTCATATGCTCCAAATGGAAGCTTTCAATGATTGTGGTCACATAAATAGCATGTCCAAAGGCAATTGCTTAATAACATGTAGACAATTATTGGATCTGATTATTTATTAGCTTCAAATCTCAAGTATTTTACCTGGCCTGCTTTATAATTCAAATTGTCTGCCAATGAGAGTTAAGTGTGTCTCCAACTACATGAATTAGAACTTTACTCACAATTTACACATCTCTTTGGGCATCTGCCTGTCCATCTGCCTCTCAGGAAAGAAAAAAAAAATGTTACATGGAGGCAGTGTGCCTCATGAAATAAGTCATTAGGCACTTCATTATTTTTTTTTAAAAATTCCATTCTCTCATCCAGTTTTTCTATTCTTCCTCGTTTCCCTCTCTTTTTTTCTCCTCATTTTCCATGTCTCTAATATTTGCTCTCTACCCATTGGGAAGTCAGTTGTGTTCATACATTGTGCTTTTGAGTCTTCCAGTGAGCTGTGCTGGTCCCCTGGAGAAAGAGCAGTTTGGGAGAAAGGCGGGTTGGTTTGGGTAATTTATATTCTTGTAGTATAAGAGACGGGAGTAGAAAGAGCAAATGACAGTACATCAGTCTGTCATTAAAAGACCTATCCTCTGTCCCATTTCATTTCCTCTACCTTCCACACACCTGCTTGAAAAGGACAGTGAGAGTCCAGGAATACACATAATGCTTCTCTCAGCCAAAATTGACTATCATCTGAAATCATGGCACACAGCAGAAAAATGCAATTCCTATTAGGCTGTACTTTTCCTTATTCTAGCTCATACTTTGATTTTCTCATTTTTTTTCTTCATTTACTTCCCCCCTTAGTCTTCCATCCAGTTGAATGTTCTTACTGCCACAGTGAGAGTATGATGGGATTCCGCTACCGATGCCAACAGTGTCACAATTACCAGCTCTGTCAGGACTGCTTCTGGAGGGGACATGCCGGTGGTTCCCATAGCAACCAGCACCAAATGAAAGAGTACACATCATGGGTAAGGCAAGGTCCAGTCAACACTTACACTTGGCTGCCTGTTGCTCAGAACACACAGGAACATCAAGGATGGAGAGAGAATTAAGGAGGAAACCTATCTTTTCTAACATCCCTTCCTTCCCTTTCTGTCCCACCCCCCACCTCACTGGGATCTCTTAATTGTCATATCTGAATCCAGTGTAGCTTCCTAAGACTGAAAATATAGGGAGACTCAAAAATATATATATACAGGGAGACTCAAACCATGTTATTTCTTGGAATACAGAAACTCAGTACTGTTTTAGATAACAACTGACCAAGCACCTTCTGGAACATAATTTCATTTTCACAGTAAGTTACGGCTCTTTCCAAGTTTTGTTTTATTTTGTTTGTAGGAACTGCTTAAAAATCATTGTTAGTTTCCTTTTTCTTAGTTTCCAAAGTTCTTCTGTTAAGTGCGTGACTAGAGCATAAAGGAAAGCCATGTGTGAGCCACGCGTCTTTTTTTTTTTTTTTTCTTTTACTTTTTTGGAGGAGGGGAGATTGTGTCTATATGAGCAAATCATTTTTTGGTAAATACTGTGAGTGACCAACTTGCCAAAAGTGACCTGTGAGTGTCTGTCCATGTGATGGACATGTGGAAGGAATTTGACTCTATGACCTTGATGTTCAAGCAGTTTAGTTCGCTGACCCATGTCTCAGTTATGCTCTAAGATCAGTTCCTCACTGTTGTTCTTTGTACTTCTGTGGAAGTCTTGCTCTGTATATGGATTGGTTTTTGTTACATCTACAAACAGACATGTTTGCTCCTTCTTGGAGCAGTTCTATGCTAAAGGAAAATGCAAACTTTTTATGAATTTTTTCTGTATTTCAATTAACCTATAGTCTTTATAAAGAGAAACTTATTGTTCTTTTTTTTAATAAAGGAGGTCTTCAGAAAATGCATTTTAAATCATAATATTCTCTCTAGGAATGAGTTTTGGGAACCAACATCCAGTGTAAATATATTAATTTTTTTAGCATCTGTCAGATTCTGACTTCAAGTACCAGTTCTTCATTAAGGCATTGTCTGCTGAGGGCTTTATGCCCAGTTCAGGGCCCAGTTCAGAGGCCCCCTCCCTCTGTTGGTTATGTCATATGCTGAGGATGAATATACTAACACAGATCATGAAATACAATTTAGTACAGAAGATGGGAGAAAACACTTTCTGTTTTCTTTTCTTTTTTTTTAATGTTTATTATGATTAAGACAGAAACACAGCATGAGTGGGGGAGGGCCAGAGAGAGAGAGGTTGACACAGAATCTGAAAGAGCCTCCAGGCTCTGAACTGTCAGCACACAGCCCAGTGCAGGGCTCCAACCCACGAACCGTGAGATCATGACCTGAGCTGAAGTCGGACTCTCAACTGACTGAGCCACCCAGATGCCCCACACTTTCTGTTTTCTTATGGTCAACACACTACCAATGTTCAAACTTGCTCTATCTCAGATTTTAGAGGGCTAGTGTTTGAAGACTAAGGATTATTTCATTGTTGTTTTATGTAAATACTAGAATCCATTTAGGAGCCTCTTTCTTAGGGGTTGTGGACTCTTAAAATTATATGGCAAGACAATATCTTTACATAGTAGGATCCATCTCCTAAAGAGGATAAAGAGGCTCCAGTGTTTATGAGGGTGAAGAGCTAATGCTGTGGCTGTGTTTTAAGTGTTCTGAGAATTACATCTCCTCGCAAAAGCCAAAGAGGAACTTCTTAAACAATGCCCCTATCACTTAGCTTTTAAATAATGAAGATGAAAGTCACTTCAGTGTATTGCCATTTGTGGGCTCTCTGTGTAAAGAAAGTGACAAGGTTTTAAGTGGCTTCTCATGGAAAGGAAAAGTTGGCAGAAAGATGTATTAAATGCAGTAGATTATTTTTGATAGATTTGGCTGTGAGATTTTAAGAGAAACATCCTACTAGTCTAAATGAAAAAAAGATGTCATGATGCTCTGGAAGGAACATAAATTTTAAGCCCTAAAGCCTCAGACTGAAGCTCCACTTTTACTTTTAACTGGACATATCCAGCCACACATGAAGCACTTTGCACCTGGATGCCTGTTAAGCCTTCTGCTCATCTTCTTACTTCCACTCCTATCTCTTCCCAAATCCTTCTCGAATCGCATCTGATGCATCTGATCCTGTCACTTCTATGATGTAAACTCCTCATCGTCTCCCTCTGCGTCTGAGATAAAGACCATAGTCCTTGAAGTGGCATAAAAGGACTTCAGTGACCTGCCTTCCACTTTCCTCTCCAGAGTGGGGCCTCTTCTTCCTCCATCTGGAATACCTTCTCAGTCCCCTGACTTTTGATCAGAAGGACTCCTGCTGGTCCCTTGAGTCCCAGCTCAGATGTCCCATGCACAATGACAGCTTCCATTTATCACAGCATTTGCTAACACTAAGTCACAGGAGGCAGGCACTCTGGTGGCTTGTCCCGGCACTCTGTCCCAGCATTGAGCGAACTCCCTGACTCAGAGGAGACACTCAAGGAAGATTTCATGAATAAACCAATGAATGAATGAGTGAGGGAACGAACATCTATTACGAGAGGAAATATTCTCATAAAATATTATATAAATACTAGTTATTGTCACTTTTACCTTTCTTCTTCTTTCCAGAAATCACCTGCTAAGAAGCTAACTAATGCATTAAGCAAGTCTCTGAGCTGTGCTTCCAGCCGTGAACCCTTACACCCCATGTTCCCTGACCAGCCCGAGAAGCCACTCAACTTGGCCCACATCGTGTGAGTATTTCTGCCCTCCAGATGAAAGGACATCTTTCTTCACTGACACAGGTCCACATCCATACATTCATATCAGTTGTCAGGGACAAAATTTTAATTTTAAAAATGTGAAAATGATGTGTTTATAATTTTTATTGTAGGGCCATACAGTACCTCTGTCTTGATGTACAAGTAACGTATGCAACACTAATGTAAGTCACATCTAGGTGGAAAATATTCAAAAAGCATCATTATAAAATATAGATGTGAGAGTTCTTACAATTGGACCTCAACAATCAATGGAATTAATTTTAAGAAAACTTTAAGGCATGCTGAGCCTTAATATCATATGTGCTTTGAGTCCCCTAAGTAAAAGTTCTTTGTTGCATTTATCTGCAGAGCCAGTCATCTTAAAGATGTCAGCAAATCTAGAAATTGTTGTTGTCTTATCCTAAACTACACAACTTTAGAAGAATCATGACCCGTGCATGGGAAGGTTGAAGAGGGAAGGTTGGTGGTAAAATTCATCAGGACATCCAAAAAGAGACTTTAAAAAATTCTTTCTCCAGAGTATTTGTGAGTTTGGTGGTCAGAGGGCGGGTGGGCCAGAATACGGTGCTACCACCCATTCTTTCTGCCTCCCAGAAGCCTCTTGCCCTGGAGCCTCTCTCAGGCCTGCATGGCCAGATAACAGGGGAAACTTAGGTAGAAGAAAGTATTTCTTCCTTGGTGTTATCTTGGGCTGAAAAGAAGAAACAAGCCCATCATCTGCATCTGCGCCCAGTTAGGAATTATTTAGTCACAGGTATGTCAGAAAGACCCTAGAAAATTTGGCTCCCCCTCTATACAAGCTCCTTTTTGTTTTGCACAGTTCAGCAGGACCTCCTGCACCTGTGTTTGCATGTTGACATCCAGAGGTGGGCTGATCAGACTTATCAAGATTAGGAATCCACCAGTACAAAGGTCATGCTTTAGGCAGTTCAGAACATGACCCATTAAAGGCACCACGATGGATCTGAGCAGTAACTCTTTCCTCTGATGGATCTAAGCAGATACCATCAAATGATCTGTGCTCTGACAGGTCTATGAATTCATGTAAATACTATGAGGCTCTGTCTGGTTTGCTCCCAAGTGTGTATTGAGGGATCACTGCCTTCAGCAATACGCACAGCCTGGAGGCTTTTGTTGCTGGCATGGGCTAAGCATCCAAAAAACTGATGTAAGCCAATTCTGTAGAATGTGGTTAACAAATTTTTGGAAATTTTGATCCTGAAAATAAGCCTTAAAATAAGCCAGGGTTAAGTAAATATGGGGAGTAACCCAAAGGCCAATCACCTACAGAAAATGACCCCATAAAGCTGTTCTTATTAAGATCTTAACTGTTCTTCCTACAGCCAGAGACAATCACTAAGTTTTTAATAAATGAACAAAACTAAGTGAGAGCAAGTCCATGCTCTCTGAGCTCTGCCATGGAGTCACCTCCTACCAGCCTGGCTAAGAGTTTCACCCCAGAAAACAACATTCAATCAGAGCTGATGGGTGTAAGGAAAATAGAGGGCGGATGTGAACAACCTGACTCTAAGAGCTTTGTAGTAGAACCGAATTAGAATGCTCCCTCCAACTTGGAGACAAAATTAGGAAGTGAGGCAGAGTGAAATAATCAATTTCATGGTCAGTCATACTGCAGTATTATGTAGCACAGAGCCTGTACCCAGTCATGCTCTGGCTTAGTGTATGTGTGTGTATGTGTGTGTGTGTGTGTGTGTTATTTAATTGGCTAATGAGTAAACACATTTTTAACTTTATAGTGGTGATGTGATCTGATGTGTTATTCACTGAACTAACTGGGCGAAATCTTTGCACAATGTGAATTCCTTGAAGAGTTTTAGGATTCTCTTAAAATTCTCCACTAATGTGCCTTCTTCTGAGAAAAGTTCCATATATTTAACCAGATTCTCCAAACAGCCCTCAAATCAAAAGAGTGATCTATACTCAGTGATAATATATCTTCCAGGGTGAATGTCTTAATTTTAAAATGCAAATTGTAGGGGCACCTGGGTGGCTCAGTCGGTTAAGCGTACAACTTTGCTCAGGTCATGATCTCACGGCTTGTGGGTTCAAGCCCCACATCAGGCTCTGTGCTGACAGCTAGCTCAGAGCCTGGAGACTGTCTTCAGATTCTGTGTCTCCCTCTCTCTCTCTGACCCTCCCTTGCTCACTCTGTCTCTCTCTCTCTCAAAAAGAAATAAAAACATTAAAAAACCTTTTTAATGCAAATTGTGAAAAATATTTAATTATTGAAATGCCATACAAAAATTCTGCACACAGAATGTCCAGTCTTCAAAGGACCAGAATTTTTTTCTGTTTTTAACTTTAGACATTTTTCTCTCACTTACTATTCAAATGTCTTTGTCCTAAATAGATATCCATGTCTTTTTCTTTTGGGATATCTAAGCCTTCTAATTTTAAAATATGCTGTTCCTTTAACTATTCTAAATAATTATAGATACATAAGGCTACTTAAGTGGTGACACTTTGGTATTTTGGCATTTGTTCTTAGCTATTGTATTTCTGGTCAATTTTACCATGATTAACAGTCTCTATTCTATTCGATTTCTTGCTGCCAAAAGTGATACTTGGTAAGTAGTTCAGTAGTCCGCTGTGTGCTTGTAAAGACTTATAATCATAATTATAAATGGTTATGAGACACAAAGCAAGTGAGTAACATGAGGCCAGTTTAAAAGTAATTCTGCCTTAAGCTGAACACTTTTCATTCAAAGATGAATGCCAATTTTATAAAAATGTCCTCTGTGAAGGTCTTGTCCACAGGGAAAATTTTGTACTCGATACCAGTGACCTTATCTTGTGGAGCTATTTCTTTTTCATAAGAATGTTTAAAGTTGCCATTGTGACCTATTTATTAGATAAAGTAACTTCTCATTTAATTATGGAGGAAATAGGAACCTCAGTCCCTTTGACAGCCACCATTTCGTGCCAAGGTTAGCTATAGTTTTGTCCCAAGTTCAACATTTCCACGATGAACCTGAAACATGAAGCCATTTACTAAAAAACTGCAGGTGCAGCTTTGCAGTGGCCACGTTCAATATAGCAAATTTACTAGGCTAGGTGAAAAACATTCCAACTCTACTTGTTTTCTCATTTCCTGGAGCTAGAGCACAAAGGGAAAATTTAAAAAAAAAAAACAAAAAAAACAAAAGAAAACCAGAAACGTTGGTCAAGTGGACAGTTTCAACTTCTTGTAAAGTTAAAATGCAGATATCTCATTCTTCTTACTGTTTTAAAATCTGATTTACCTAACTTTTCAAAACTCACATAGGACATTTGTATAAAATTAACATCCTTCTGATAAAATGAAAGTGTTGTGCTCAAGGTAGAATTAGTTTTAAACTAGCCTGATGTGTCCAAGACACATCCTAGATAAATAATGCAAAACACTAAGATACTTTTCAAAACTTCAGCGAGTATGTTTAGAGTAGATGAAATAGTTAATCTGCTATTTTGACCTCATCCAACAAATAATGTCTTTAAAAATCTTAGAACATTGTTTAGCACCAAGTACTGGGAACCAAAGTTTCAGTGAATTTTTGTAAATAATGTCGACAATTTTAAAACCTTATAGCATCACGTCCATTCCCATAAACACACAGTGATAAACAGGTCTCCCTCTTTCCCAGGAACTCTGCATTGTGGAATCCAAAACCAACTTTGGTTCCCTAAGGTAGAAACTAAACCATTACACATGTGTCTCTTGATCAAGCCAACACAACCAGATTCTATAGGCTACTGTGATTAATGTCCAGTGTTCAAAAATTCTGTACCGTGAAATTCAAATATAGAACTACACTGAAATCAAAATGTCCTCTGACTCAAAATGATACCCATATCCTGAACTCTCAATCCCATCACGTGGAACATATTCCAGTAAACCTAACATAAGACTAAAAACCACTTGGAGATGAGATAGGCATGTGAGCTCTATCATTTTGCCTGAACCAAGACATTAGCAATGGGAAAGAATGACAGGTGATAATGAAAAATACTGTTGGAATGGCAGACCCTATGCAGTTGGGGTTTGAGGCCATGTACAATTTTGAGAAATACTGAACCCTATTTTCTTTCTCTCATCATATGAAAAGAATTGAAGTTTATGAGCTGCCTTGCACTATGTGCCCTATTATGTGGAATATCCAGATAACAGAAACTCACTAAATCCTGTGGTGCTTGATTGCATCTTTACATAGAACAAAGAACAAATAAGGCGTGGTATGCTTTTGCAACTGGGTCGCTCCAGACCAGGTATTTTGAGCAAGGGCCGTGGTTGTCAAGCAGAGCCCAGGAAAAGCTTCTGAGGCTCTAGGAATCCTCTGCTTTCCAAGAAGATGTAAATTCTGGTTATCATTAATGATTCAGAGCTTCTCCTTTTAGAAGACAGTGGGCCTGAAACTGTCTCAAGTCTTTGCTCCATTTGAAAATGTGACTCAGTGAAACAGCAAGGCTCAAAGCTCACAGATAGGTATTCCTATGGTGTCCAGAGGTCTTCCTCTTAATGTTTATTAGACCTTCCACATCTTCAAGGAAATGTAACTTCCCAGAACACCTAAATAATTTCATTGAAAAATATAAAATTTTATGTTGATCCTGGGTATGACAGATCTCTGATCTTTGCAGCCCTTTTCTTGGAGAGATGGTGGATAGTTTTTAACTTGTGACTTTTATTTGTTTTAACTCTCCATCCACACTGTACTTCATTTTAGGCCGCCCAGACCTGTAACCAGCATGAATGACACCCTCTTCTCCCACTCTGTCCCCTCCTCAGGAAGTCCTTTTATTACCAGGAGGTAAGTTCTGATCTTATTATGAAATAAGCCCTCTCTTTGGTGATGACCTCTAATTCTGGGTTAAGAAAAATATTCTAATGTAAGCCAAGTGTGGAAGATTATTGTTAGAAACTAGTTTGTAAATATCTATCACAAATTTTCACTCTCACTCATGTGGATGCTTTTGAAGATGGCTGGGACGGCTTTCGGGATTAATGTCACTTCTGCAAACTTGCGTTTATGATTCACCCACGGTAAGAATGTGGGGTGTGTTTAAGTTTTATGACCAACACACATGTATTCCATCTCGTTGAGACAGTCACCGTCGAATCACTTGGAATGGCCCATTTAAGCCAGGGAATTGGAATTTCAAGATGTAATGGGAATTTATTATATACATTCTGAAACATTGTACAATCTCAACTTAAAATTTGGTGAACTCTGGAGTTCCTGAGGCTAGAGGCCGAAGACCAAACTTGGAAGTATAGTTTCCACATAAGTGATTTCAGGGATAATAAGAACTTTTAAAAAGTGTCTTCTGTTTTTATACAAAGATTCACTCCAATGTGAGCAAAGACCAGGTGAAGCAAATACTTCTCTTAGAGCTAGCTTGATAAATATGCAGAGTCAAGAGATACTCCAAATCATTTGATCAAATCTCACCAGTAAAGTACCAGGAACTTATTTTATAAATACATGGAGAAGGCTAACAGGAAAACAGAAACAAAGGTAAGAAGTGGAGTGAGTAATGAACGTAAGATTTCAAATGCCTTTCAGCAGAAAAAAAAGCAACCTCATGATTCATAAAGCGAACATAATCAGCCTTTTCCCCTGGCGACGTTTCTGAGGTACCAATTTCACTGCAATATCCTGGTACATTCAAGTGAGGATTTGCAGACAATGAGACTCAGAACACTGCTGATTTTTTCCCCTGAGTTCCTGTATTTGCCCATCAGCAGGAATGGGAGATGATGTTCCCCATAATTGTAATTAGCATAATGAATAGAATGTTGTAGTTGGCGGTATTGCCCCCTCTAAATTAAGCAGGTCTGTAACAAGTGGAAATGAGGATGCACTTGAACTGCAGAACACCCACAGTGAAATAACACGGTTTAGGCCCTGTGTGTTCCTTTTAGCTCTCCTTTTCAAAACCACAAGCATATGCAACCATCTTTTCCAAAACAAAATCACAAACTGGATAGTCTGTAAGAGACACAGGCCCATATATCTATCTAGGGAAGATCTGCCACAATGTTAAGAAAGATGTGCTTTTATTAGGAAACCCTGCATTCTGCAAATGTCAAGCAGAGCTAGACCCCATCCTTACTGAAGGTCGTTTTATATCATTTCAGCTCGGACGGTGCTTATGGTGGATGCGTCTAGATGGATAACATGGCTTCCTCTCCTCTAAAATATCCCTATAATACTTTGAGCTGTTCTGGTTCCTCCAGGGTGCGTGGTACCCATTAACCCAAACCATGATCATTTCCCTTTTCTCCCATTTTCAGTCCTTTTGGAATGTTCTCTGTGAACCACAGATACGTTGTTTAAAGATTGCAGTTCTTTCTTTCACCACGGAGGTTAGCCTCTGGTTTCTGTTTTGAGGGTGCTGTTCAATAAAGCTGTGTACACTGAATGTCTTTCCTCTCTGAGTGGGCCTTGCTCTGTCGGTGGAAGGTTTTAATGAGGTCTCATTGTTTGCATCCCTCAGGTCACCTGAGGGGATGAGTGCATCCAGCCCTGTGGCTGAAGAGCATTCGCTCATAAAGCTGTATGTAAATCAGCTTGATCACGGCGCACGGTCAGTATCCTAGCGCTCAATCACTAATCGTAGCTAGTAGTTCCAACGCTAGACTGCTAGGCATTCTCCATCACTAAAATCCTCTTCTAGTATATCTTAGTAGAGATGTAGAAGTCTTCTGGGATTTCATGAGATTCCATGGAGAATTTTCAACTCGAGCCGGGCTTCTCAGCTCTTTCCTCTCTTTCCTGCTTATGTTGATTGACTTCACAGCCTCATACCAGTATACATGAGATGCATACATATGAAGAGTACCATGTCAGATCTTCTTCTTTGGATGAAACTCTGCTTTTGTACAGTTTGCAAGATCCCAATTGGTGATTTCTTAGATTTTTGAAGCAAAGAGCCTCTTGGAGTGATCTTTAGCACTAATGGCATAAGATCAGACCAGGACAATGTCACATGGCTGGACTATATTGAAGTAAAAAACTTGAGAATTTATACCTACTATCCCACTAGGTCTGGGTCACTTTTCCTCCAGGTCAGGCAGTCTGATTCCTGTATTTTTTAAATTTTTTAAATGTTTATTCATTTCTGAGAGAGAGAGGTAGAGCACAAGTGGTGGAGGGACAGAGAGAGAGGAAGACACAGAATCTGAAACAGGATCCAGCCGATGTGGGCAAATATATGAACCACAAGATCATGACTTGAGCTGAAGTCACTCGCTTAACTGACTGAGCCACCCAGGTGCCCCTGATTCCTATTGAAGTCGCAATTTCAAAACAAATTTCATGCTCTCAATGTTTAATTTCTATCACTTGATAATGCTAGTTGGTGACTCACTGTTTATTAACTGTTTCTTAACCATGTCCATATACAAAAGTTGACGGAAACCCATCATGTCAAATGTAGGCATAAATTAAAGGTCCTATTCTTCCTACAGTGGGACTGAACTAAACAAGTATGACCTAGACCCCTGCCTTCCCTCCTGCCCAAACCCAACGGCCCTTTTTAAAATCTGATAAAACCTAAAACTTAAGCAAGCCAAGGATGGTGCTAGTCAGTGTTAAGGCAGCATAAGAAATTAAGGAGCTGTGACATACAGATACTTTATTTAGCCTCAGTTTTTGGTCTTTCATATTGTGACAGATTTGGGAAAGATAAAGCAAGGCAAGGATGAATTGAAATCATCACCTGAGAATCCTGTGTGCAAACTCAGGCATTACTCACCTGGAGTCTTTTACAAGCACACCACTTTGATCTTCAAAAGATATGAGGGTACATCTTTGAAGCCTTTTGACACCCTAACAATCCACCTCACACAGATTTATGAGTGCAGAGCTCTGGCGGCCACTACCATCTGTCACAGCCCCTGGTCTTATTTCACTTTCTAGCTGTGCACTTGATTCACTTTTCCCTTATGTAAAAGAAAAAAGGAAATTCTCAAAGGCACTCTCCCTTAAACTTTTGATGTCTTCATGTGTGTGGGGGTGGGGGTGGGGGTGGGTGCGCGCGTGCGCGCACGCATGTGCGCACGCACAATTAGGTACAAAGTGGGTCAAAGGACACAATTCATGGGTTAATTCAGCTCATTCATTTTTGTGATCATAACTATATCCCTAAACCTAGATTATTTTCTCTCATAAATGCATCAATTCAAGGGAAAAAATGTCGGATCAATCTATCATCACCACTAGGAAAAGAGCTCCAAGAGCCATGTGTGGTGTGGCAGCAATATTTTCTAAGCTTATGAAAGATGGACTGTCATTATTGCAAGTAGTATTGCCAGGCCCAAAGGGTCCCTTCTCCCCTTCACCACCTTCAGCCCCTGCATGTCTGCTATCTTTGCTGGCATCATGCCCCCTTCGTAAAGTACCAATTACCTTGTCAAAATCCTTGCCTCATCAATGAGAGAAAGTTAGCCAGTCCTTTCCTATGTAAAATATATTTCTTTACTTACAGCCATCTTCTTCATTAGCCACAACAAGGACATTGTAAAAGTTTGAATGGCTAAGTTTTTACCTCCAATTTTTTCAATGATTTCTTTTATGTTTATTTATGTTTGAGAGAGAGAGAGAGAGAGAGAGAGACAGAATGTGGATGGGGGAGGGGCAGATAAAGAAGGAGACACAGAATCCGTATCAGGCTTCAGGCTCTGAGCTGTCAACACACAGCCCAATGCGGGGCTCCAGCCTATGGACTGCAAGATGACCTGAGCCAAAGTCGGACACTCGAGCCACGCAGGTGCCTTTGGTTTTTGGTTTTTGGGTTTGTTTGGTTTTTTTTTGATGTTTATTTATGTTAGAGAGAGAGAGAAAATGTTACCTCCAATCTTAGAACCATCTCTTAAAGATTTCACAGATATTTTCACAAATGCAACCTCTAAATTAGTAACCACTCACAAATCACTTTGGCCATTATGTATATCCAGATCTTGTCACTCTCCCAAATATCAGACTATTGCTTATGATTCATAGACTGTGTCAAACACAATCTAATATGCTGTTTTCTGGTTTGTCACAATGACACTGGGTTAATAACTGATGCTATATTAGACTCAGTTGTGTACGTGGGGAAGGCACACCATCCACCGCAACCACTCCCCAAATCCGGATTCTTTCCAGTAGAGCAGCATTTGGGAGACATCCGTTGGTTGACCGGTTGGTCAGTTAATGGATTGGTTTGGGTTCCCAACTACAAAAAGGCTAATCCACTGTGTCTTTTTTAGGTTTTCTTTGAACACCTTGCTTACCCAAAGATTCTTTGCCTACCAACCCAGATTTTTTCATCAGACTTGAAACATTCACACTAAACTTTAAGCATGTGTGCTTTGGTAATCAAAAGTGAATTGAAATAACATCAAGGCATTGAATTCAGCCTTGGCTTCAGAAAATAAACGTTTTCTCCATGGTTAATTTTTTCGAAGATTAAAGCCCATCCTTTCCAATCAGGAAAATAGATACATTTATTAATCAGCATTGTAAAATAGATAAACTTGTACACCAACCACCCTGAAGATTTTGTCACTCTTTCTGTTTATGTTGCCTGAAATCTCCTGAAACTTGAAAAATTACTCTTTGCAGTTAATTCTTTATTTCATCTAGCCCCAGAGATCCACTCATGTGCTAGTTTTTTTTCAAACTGGAAGTACACTGGTCTTCACCCTCCACTCTATTTCCATACAAAACTATTTGTGCATGATTACAATTGCAGTCACCTCCCTTCCACCCTTCCATAACCTATATTCTCTTCCTGAAGCTGCTTTAGTTCTTCTCTGTGCATGCCCTGCACCCAGCAAACTTTTCCAGATGCTCCTCTGACTAAAATGCGATTGACCCAGCTTGATGATATCTGGGGGAACAACATAGTAAATGTAGTGAATCAAATATGGCCTGCAAATTCTTATTTCCTCCATGGTACCTGCTTAAAAGATGGTTCAGCTTTCATGCCAGCCTGAGCTGATGACAACTAATTTTCCTACAGAAACACTGAGCTATTTTTTATGCTTGTTTGCTGATTTGTATGTGGCAGATAGTTTGTCTCAGATCTCAGATATGGAAAGCTGGAAAAGGAAAGGAAAACAGAATTTGTCCAGAAATTATCTTGACAAAACTGACTTGTGGACACCTTTTTATGGTTTTTAAGTTAGTTTAATGCCCTTGTTACTAGTCTGTATTAATTATAGTGAGAAGCAATTAAATAAAAAACAGCTCTTTTAAGATATAATTGACATCCAATTCAAAGAATATATTTAAAATAAGTTCACAATTCAGTAAGTTTTGACATATATAAACAATGTCATATGTATATATACACACATGTGAATGTGCACATTACATGTTCATGTATATTATGAACATATATTTTTATAAGTGTGAATGTACACACATACATGTATGGCTATACACGTATATGTGTGTGTCTGTTTACATACATACATGAGAAGCAAAATTTTATTTACAGTCAACAGTTAGTTACTTAAGAAGGGACCAACTTTCATGCTTCACCTGTCTAAACACCACACAAGTTTGTCAATTATTTAAAATCAATATAAATGAAAATATCTGTTTTTAATTTGCCATTATTTAAATACCATTTTCCATTTAACCAATGTGATAAGAATTATTTTACCTTATGTCATTTGTTTATACAATACTGTTGCTCCATGAAACTGCATCCAAGACTTTTATTTAAATTCTTATATTTTCATGTTTAATAAAAGAAAAAATATTTGGCAAGAACTAATATAGTAACACAACATAAGCAAAGGTGGCTTTTTAAACCATGTTTCAGGTTTAAGCAAAAATCCCGGGGACATTAGTGTGTGATTATGTTACCTTAGAACAGCCCAAAAATGTTTGTGCTTAAGCAAATATACTATCAGTTGTCACCCTTCAAAACCAAGGGTGAATTTTAAATAAATAAATATAAGACATTTTTAATTTGCTCTATCATTCCCAAATTCATTGTATCATTTGTATGTGTGCATATGAAAAAAATTGGGAAAAGTCCATTTATCTTTATAGTTGTTTTCCATAGGTCTAAAAAGGAGTTAGTGAGAACATAGAAACTTCTTTAGAAAAAAAATCGAGGAGTATTCCCTGCCTTTTTTTCTTCCAGAAGAACACATAAACTTCAAAATTTACCCTGTCTTACTCTCCAGCATATGATTGTCACCATACCCATTAATGTTAGTGTGTGCACAGAGGAATGAACTTATACAATGCCAAGGACCTGGTGGAAAGAAAAAACAATAAGAAAAAGAGATATGTGTACATACAGTTTTAGAGATGGTGATCCTGCTTTTCCTTGGGACTCAGATTAGAAAAGATTTATTGTACATGGTCAAGAGGAATTCCAAATAATTCCCAGCTACAGAAGTTAAAAGGAAGGACACATTTTGCTTTGAGAGCAAGGCAAATCAAAAAAGGAGAGACTTCTACTGATAGTTATATGCAAGCCATTGTTATTCTTGTACACTGACATGCCAGAAGCATCATTTTGTGGGAAGAATGTAGGTTTTAATGTGCCTGATCCCCAAGCCCACAATGAGTTGGAAATATGACCTAACTTCTCCACACAAACAGCCAAGCTACAAAATGAAAGTTTAAAAATCTAATGTATTCTATAAAGTATGGTGAGTGTATATTGCTTTGAAGAAATGATAATAAACTATATATTCTTACTATCCTCACAACAACTCAGGAGAAAAGTTCTTCTCTTTGCTTTCCTTTCTCGAGCTCATTGGGAGCCACAAAAGAAATTCTCGGGGCGCCTGTGTTGCTTAGTCGGTTAAGCGTCCGACTTTCGCTTAGGTCATGATCTTGCAGTTCGTGGGTTCAAGCCCTGCGTCGGGCTCTGTGCTGACAGCCAGCTCAGAGCCTGGAGCCTGTTCCAGTCTGTGACTCCCTCTCTCTCTGACCCTCCCCTGCTCGTGCTGTCTCTCTCTCTCCTAGAAATTAAAAAAAATAAATAAAAAAAAATTCTCATGAAGATACTTCACATGAAGTCTTTATACACCCAGGCTTTAGGTGAAACCTGCCTCTCCTATCAACTCTATAAGTTCTTGATCCATTTCATTTAGAAAGAGTGGCTTTTTTTTTCTTGTCTCCATCATGAAGTTGGCTTCCTCTATACGTGGTCATATTTTTGGCTTCTCAGACTTTGAGAATTTGAGACCAGTTCTAGGAAGTACAAAAACTATGTGGACAGTGAGTACCAAAAGTCAGAAATTCTCTTGGCCCTAGATACTGAGAGCTGTAGAAACGAAGTAAATGGTATATTTCCACAAACTCATAAATGCAAAGAGTGTAATTTCCATATTTTCCAAGAACTGGTTTTCCCAAGAAACCATGTGGGAGGCAGAAAAAAACATAAAAGAATTTAAATGATTTCTTCAAACCAACACTGGTAAGTGCAAAGAAAATGACAATAAAATGAAAAGAGATGTGTACAGATAGAACGTCTGCTCCTCCTCCCTTTGAAGGAGGAAAGGATTTGGGAAGAAGAAGAATGGAAAAAAAAAAGAAGAGAACAGGGGAGACAGGCAAACGGAGTAGGGGAGAGAGGGGATCAAAGAATAGGGAGGAAATAAGGCCACTAAAGGAAAATCTGGGCCACTGCTCCCTTCCTGAAATCAGCAGATTCCTCTTATGCTAGTGCGTGGCAATGACCAAGTGGCAGGATGTGACACACCACCTTCCTCCTATGAGACTTCACTGGAGTAATTGGTAGCAAAAACACCCTTACAGTTGATCCTTTCATGTTTCTTTTCTCTACTGGTCCTTTCTTTCTTCTTGTCCATTCAGCACCAAAGGTTGTACCTGTGTAATTATTAGGCTTTTGATTTAAGGAAATACCATCATAATTTCTAAGATTCAAGGGCCAAAAGGCATAACAGGGAAGAAACAGTTAAGTTTGGAAGGAAGAATTATTGATATTTCACACCTGTTTTGAGTGGGTTTGCAGGGACTGGAAATCTATCCTGAGTTCTAAAAAAAAAGCTAGGGAGGGTGGTAATTGGGCAGCAGAGAGACTGTCGTTATTGGATAATGAATACAGAGGGATATGCTTCAGGAGACAGGGTTTGAAATGCTCTCCTTTTTTTTTTTAATGTTTTATTTATTTCTGAGAGAGAGCAAGCGTGAACAGGGGAGGGTCAGAGAGAGAGGGAGACACAGAGTCTGAAACAGGCTCCAGGTTCTGAGCTAGCTGTCAGCACAGAGCCCGACGCGGGGCTCAAACCCAAGAACCATGAGATCATGACCTGAGCTGAAGTCGGACGCTTAACTGACTGAGCCACCCAGGTGCCTCTGAAATGCTCTTTTGATGAGACGATAGGAAAATACCAACTATGATGATGGCGTAAGGTGGCTATTTCATCCTGATGGACAGTTTCCACCTTAGAAGGGGGGGAAAAATCATGTTCATCAAAGAACTAAATTCTCCTAGAACATTAATCATTTCATTTTTAAAGTAGATTTTATTTGTGTGCACCTGTACTCTGTAAGTAATAGGTGCATTCCTGAAAAGCTACTTGAGGTCATACATTCAACAACTGAGTGCCTAGTCTCTACTAGACATTTTCTTTATAAATCAAATTTTATTTTTAAGTTTTCCAGAGACCTCACAACTTAAGGAATATTATAGTATATACAATGCTAACACAAGAATTCTAATTACAATATGCACAATCTTAATGTGACATTTACTTACACATTTGGATTTTTTTTGTACTTCCTGGTCTGAAAGAGTGATGCTTTGTAATAAATCCTTAAAACTCAAAGTTTTTAAGATTTTAACTACTTTACAAGTCATCTTACTACATACATACATTTAGAACTGGTTGAAAAGTTGGGCAAGTTATTGGCAAAACCTCATAATTCCGATCCCAGAAATTAACAAATTGGCCACCAAACAAAGTCAGACAGCTCATTTTTTTGTATTCACCATGAAAGGGGTGGATGGATAGTTTTAGATCCACCAGTGTTACAGGGCAAATTCTTAACCTACACAGGAGCAAGTTCCTTTTAATCACATTACAAGTACAATTGTAATACTAACAGTTATTACCATTTTTCCCAATGAAATATAACCAGTAGATCTTGGGTCACTTTGGCATGGCCACACTTTATTATTATTTCTGTTTCTATTTGTCCCTTAATAAAACTATACTTTAAACTTTCAAAACTGTCATTTAAATTACTAAATAAAATGAGTATGCCTCATAATGAACCTAAAATGTTAAGAATTTGCTATAGTGATGGGACTATTCACCCGTTACAGACACAAGGAAGATAAATATATTTTTATAAGGATCAAAGGTTTATTTCTCTGTTTCTCTGAAAGTTTTCTTTACAGCTTCTCAGCAAGGGTCAGGTGACTTGTGCCTGGGGTAGCAAAGCACTTCTATATGACAGCAATCTTCTAACTAGATAATTTTCAAGTGTCTATTCAACTCAGAAAGTTGGAGAAAACAGGGAACACTGGAGAAGTATACTTTTTGAGTGGAATCTGAAGGCTGTCAGGACTTCGTGAGCTATCTGACTGTTGACATGATCATCTCTAGTGAATGTTGAATGGATTTTCATTATGTCCAGGCATATGCAATCTATTTGTTAAACAAATAGCTGAGGTCAAACTACGGATCATGGACGCTTGTGTAATTGCAATTATGGTCCTCAGGCCAAGTTTCTACTCCTAGTTCAACTCTGTGGAAATCTGCAGACATCTTGAACATTTCAAAATACCAAGAGAGCTGTCCAAATGGAGCTTGGATCTAGACTTGGCAGTGTCTGTAGCCAGTTCTATTCTTGAATGCATTGCTGTGTTTACGCTCTTCTTGGCTTTCCCATCTTATTAACTAGCTCTCCTCCCAAGGACAGTGAAGTAGAGCAGAACAAACTGCTGGCTAGGGCTGCTCCAGCTTTTCTGAAGGGCAAAGGGTAAGTTAAAGCCAGAGTGTCCTGGAACCCTGAATTAACTCAACTAAAACCGGAGAATTCTTGTGTCAAAAATGCTTTGTGTTTGATAGACCATCTTTGATTTAGCAAAAGCAGCTCTATTATAACCCAACTAACAGCACCAAGTAGTTCTTTTGAGTAGACACATCTATGTAATTCACTTTCCCTGATCTCCTTTTTTTTAAAACGACTAAACTTCAGATTTGATTTTCCAAAGGATACTTACTCTTTGCTTGCAACCTAATCAATGTGCTTACCGTCCAGATGAATTTCTTGGCTTTACTGGCTTGAAAAATGCAGTTCTGTTTTCTTAAACGTTACTTTACCTACATGGAAATCTTTATTTTTAAAATTAGTGAAATGGAATTGTGTATTTCGTTGCTTGGATTTTGCTTGGATTTTTCATAGAACATCACTTATATTTTTCCTCTACCTACGTGGTGTTCCAAATGCTTTTTCTATCACAAACTCACTCCTACCTGCTCTGCCTCTTTCTGCCTCTCCTCTCAACACCCTTTCTTTCCTCCTGCCCTGTTTCAGGATACAGTACAGCCTGAATGTGGCAGACAGGCTAGCTGATGAACATGTTCTCATCGGGTTGTATGTCAACAGGCTCCGGAACAACCCACCATGGTTAGTGCAGGTTTGGCTGCTTGACTGTCCTTAGAAAGGGTAACCGTCTGATCCCTTGACAAGAAGCCCCAGCAAGGGGCAAGTGAATGCCCCTTCACTTAGTGACACTTAGGTGTCACTAAGTCACCTTTGAATCGATTCAAGTAAGATGTCCTTCCTGACATTAGTTTGGATACTTCCCATTCATGTACCATGGAATTCATATCCTTGGGGTACGCAGCTAAAGGGGAAACTTGTATAACTGGATGCCATGCTAAATATTAGTCTTCAGTGGATGCTGGCCTTTGGGTCCCCCCAGTCAGCTCTGTGTTACATGTGCCATATCAAATGCCTGCACAATAGTGGTGCAAGAATTTTCTTATTCCAAGGATGTGGATATCTACTGATTTGGAAGACAATGTTCCATTAATTTAAGATAGAAGTAAAAAAGAGGAAAAGTAATGGGATGGGATCCTACCATGGAAATCACTTCCTTAATGATATCAGTGGGAGAAATTGTCTTTCAACTCTTCTCTGGCTTATAAATGTTTCTGGGTAGCCACCCTGATAAAGACGACTTTCAAGTTCCAGAATATACAAAGCTTACTTCCAAATGAGTTAAATTGTATGAATTCAGATAGCCCTGTGTATTCGGATAAAGGCATTCATAAAATTTTTCTCTTTTTATTTTAATTGTGACCTAGGATATTCCTCCGATTGGTTAAAGTTAGTTGGTTGTGATAATAAATGTACATTTGAACAAAAATGAAAGTCAGGGGACAGTCTACATACCTATCATATGTTTGAATGAAAATAAGTAGACAGACTATATATATTTATCGTGTGTTTCAGCCTAGTTTAGACTCCTGCTTTACAAATGTGTTTACCAGTTTCTTAGAAATATGTAAATTTTGCTTAATAAGTCTAACTTCTCTGAACTAAAGGCCACTGGACTTTTTTTTTTGCAATTATAACTATTAAGTGAAAAAAGGGGTTAAGTTGCCTTTAAAAATAGCTGGCCTCCTTTCCTCTACTATTTCACAAAAAGCATCCCTAAAACACGTGATGGCCATTACTCAGTCCTCATCACCTTCACCACTTGGTATTGTTAGCTACTTCTTTGTTTCTAGAACTCTCCTCCCTGGACTGTTTCCTGCACCCAATGCCTAGAACTATTCTTATAAAATTAGTACATGAGATGTTTTAGGAGATAACATTGATGAACATCTATTAGTAATTACATATTTATCTTAATTTGTATTTTAAAAATATATAAGCAGCACACTAGTTTCATTTTATACTATTTCCTACTCTTCACGAAGATAAAGTTAAAAAGCACTCTGTAGTTAACCCCACCTTTTGTTCAAAGTTGTTGAGCTTGTAGGTCAAACAATTCCTCTTCTTTGTTACATCTCAGCCTCTCAAAAGTATGAGTGAGAAGAGTGATTGCTTTAATCTATTCCCAATGAATTTGGTTCCCCAATGTTATATGGTAGCTGAAACAATAGAACTAAATATGGAATTACCAAAAAAAAATGTATTGACAGTCTTCAAAGAAGCATACAGTCAATATAGATTCAATCGTGTCTGAAGGCAAAGCTGTGGTCTCATACTGTGTCCTCTCCCCCATAATTCTGAACACACTTCAGCTACTTCCACACTCTTCTTTGACCTTTTCTTAATTAAATTTGTGACAAAGAAATCTCCAAAGAGGAAAGCTCAGTTTGTCACCACCAGCCCTTTTCCCTACTCAAGTGATTGATCACATTGAATTGATGGCCATTTAAGACAGTAAAACTGTCTCAGCAGAGACACCTGACATCTGTTTGATGAAAGCTGGAGGCCATATTTATTTGGAAAACAAAGCAGAACTTAAGACTGATCCATGAAGAAGACTCCTTGTTAATAGCTATTGCCCTCCATATTTCTCAATGCTTTTTTTGTTCTTAAAAATTTCCAACTCTTTTGAATTTCTCATTTTTCTTATATTTCCTTTATGTTGAATTAGAACCTCACCGTTCCCCACACTTGCTGTGATTATGTAAATGATGAAGCGATGTCTCACCTTCTCTGTCATCATAATAGCTATAATGCTTCACTGCCATTCAACTCTGGTGAGATTAAGGCTAATAATCACAAGAGCTACCATTTTTTTAAATCATATGCCTCCTGCTAAGCACTGTGTAAAACCTTTATTTACATAATTTCTCCTAGTCCTTAGTGTAAACCTGTAAATACATTCATATCCATTTTTGATAAGTAAGGGTATCAATTTACAGAGTTTACGTGACTCTCCCACAGTCACATAGCTACAAAACAGTGGATCAGGGATTTTAACCATTATCTACCTCATCCCAAACACCTAACCACTATGCTACATTGGCTTTTATAAAGTAGCCTACATAAACACATGCCTTCCAGAAAGCTTTTCTGGTCACTGCTCCCCACTGCATCTACCACATATCTATTTCCTGAAATTGCAAATCCTACTACATTATTTTTATTTCATTTTGACAGATATTTTGAGCACATGCTAGTAATAAGAATGGTGGTTGTGTTACCATTTTTAGTCTATGCATTGTAGTTTCCCACTGTAATTACAGTCTTCAAAGAGCAAGAATTTTGTCTTCAGTCTCTTGTATCTCATCATGGCAACCAGGATATGAATAACACATTAATAAGCACATTAATGAAGTGCTTCGAAAATTACAGACCCTTTTTTACACTTTATTTGCTCATCAAAGCTCTACAAGTTTGGATATCATTCATTCCATTTCACTGATAAGTAAATGCTAGCTCTGACACATTAAGAGACTTATCCAAGGTCATATGCTAGCAACGGCTTACACAGAGGTCTTCTGACACTGGGTCCCATCTACTTTCCACACCATTCTTCAGGCTCCCTACCAGCGCATCTTTCATGAGATAGTCTACAAACAGAAACTTAATCGCTATTCTTGGTTAAAATATTTATTTTGTAATTATTCATATATGCTCCTGCTTAACTCTTTGGGGGGGGGGGACTTTTCCTCAAATTAAGTACTTAATACAATGGGAAACTGACTCATTTGTAAATAGTCTGCTGCTAAATTAGAGAAACACTTATGTCCTTGCTGGTTCTGATGTCAGATAAGCCAAATAAATTAACTATAGCTCAAGGGAGAATTCCTGCTGTCTTCCTAATTCAATGAAGTCTTAAAAGCTTTAATGGTTTTCAGCCACCTTCGCCAGTGAGGGAGAAGGGATATCAAAATGTAATACAGTGAGGGCTTTTTCTGCCCTTTCCTAAAGCTTATCAAGTACTGGGCTTGATAGTGATTTATTGGGACCAACTGATGGGCAGACTAAGAAGATGGGAAAACAGCCCAGAACTTCCAACTGTACCCATAATTATATGCTTGATACCTTATTCATAACCTTCTGGCATAGTGCTCTCAGCTCTGAAAAGATCCCCTCTGTAAGGGAAGGAGTGCAGTTAAAGGCTCCAGTCTATACTTTGATGTCATGATCAATTACTATCACTTAATTAGACCCCTGATCACATATAAATAGGTTAAAATTTGTTCTGCTTATGTTTTTTCTCTTGAGAAAAATTATATAAATAATTTTTACATTATTTATATTATATCAATATCAACACCAATAAGTTATATATCTACTATCATTTCTAGGTTTCATATATGAGGTCTAAATTACTATCAGCTTGCCTGCTTAAAACCTTTTAATAGACTCCTACTGTACTGGGTTTGCACCCCAACCCCAACCATGGCCTGTGTATGACCCCACCCTCCCTTGCCTACCCTGACCCCATCCTCCGTCTCATGGGCTTCTCTCAACTCAATCACCATACTTAGCAGCATCCACTTTGATCAGTCCTACAAACAGTTCCTAAAACTGCCTCAAGACCATGATACTAGTTCTTCCCTGTGCTAAGAACATTCTTCCCATTTCACCCTTGCCCTATCCTGCTATACACACATGCTCTGGCTTCCTTTACATGTATGTAAAGGCTGCTTCTCTGGCTTCAAACTCAGATTAAAGGCATCTCCTCAAGTAGGTCTCCCATACTTGTCTCTGTCATGGCATATCATATATTTCATTCTTACCATAACTGCGATCATTGGTTGAGCAGTTGGTTGGTTGATTGGTTTACCAGCTATCTTCTCTGTGAAGCAGGGAGCTTCTCTGATTGGTTCAATGCCATATCTCCGGCACCTAACACAGTGCCTGGTGCACAGTAGGTGTGCAATAAATATCTGTTGATGTCACGGGATATTGATAGCGCTATCAATATAAAATTCCCTCTCACTCTAAACAAAACTGTTAGGAGTTCTCAGAAGGTCTTTTTTACTAGTAAAATTTTTACTGCTTAAAATAAATCACCTCTTACAATTAGCCCTTTAGTTGAACATTTTGTATAAGAGTATTAAGTAGGTGAAAAAGCAAAGTATTCAGCTTTACCTATGGAGCAGTGGTAACCTGGGTAAAGACAGCTATCAGCAATTCACTGACTTGGGGAAAACGACTGATGGGGGGAGGGGGCAAAAAAAAAATCCCTAAAAGTGATATTGGGAAAGAATATATTCGTTGCTTTAATGTTCTCTGATTTCTTCCACTTTTTGTTAGTTTACTAGAGCTACTATAACAAAATACCACAGACTATGTGTCTTGGACAACAGAAATTTATTTTCTCACAGTTCTGGAGGCTGGAGGTCTAAGACCAAGGTGCCAGCAGGGCAGGTTTCTCCTGAGGTCCCTCTCCTTGGCCTGCAGATGGCTGCCATCTTGCCATGTTCTCACATGGCCTTTTCTCTGTGCAGAAACATCCCTGGCTCTCTTCCTCTTCTTGTAAGGACACTGGTGATGTTGCTTAGGGCCCTCTCCCCTTATGTCCTCATTTTACCTTAACCTCTTTAAAATACTTATCTCCAAATACAGTCATATTCTGAGGCACTGGGGGTTAGAGCCTCAACACATGAATTTTGGGGAAGACACCATTCAATCCATGACACACTTCAACA